AATAAAATTGAATAAATTTAATAACAAATTATCAATTAAACTAAGGATTAGGTTAATGATTAATATTAAAATCTATAGAAATTATTGAATCACTATATTAATTCTATTGATAATAAAAGTAAATAGATCAAGAAATATTGTAATATTCAAAAATTGGAAGGAGATTTACTAAAATTGACAGAAATGAATAAAAATTTAGAAATTGAAAGTAATTAATTATACACATTAATAAATAGAAATTAATTTATTCAATCAAATGTCTCAGTAATTAGATGAAAAACAGTAGGAATATTAAAAAATATTAAAGGAATAATAAAATAAGGGTATTTCCGATTTAATTTTTATAGATTAAAATGAAATCGATGAGTTAACTGCCAAATTAAAATAAAAGGAAAAAGAAAACTAAAATTTCAAAGAGTTGATTGAACAAAAAAGTTAAGAAATAACTAATCTGAAGAAATAAAATGAACAAGATAAATTACAGATTATTAAGACTTTAGAAGATCAAAGTATTCATTTTCATTAATTATATATAGAAAACAAAGAAATTTAAGAAATGACTCAGAAAATCAATCAAAAGGAATCAGAATTCTAAACTATTTAAAGACAATTAGATTAGATTAATCAAGAAAAGTTAGAAAAAGAAAAACAATCTAAATTAGAATTAGAAAAAGTATTCTATTACAATATTTATTTATCATATAGATTAAGCAATATCCTAAAACATTATTATTTTCTAATACCTATAAGGGTGCTAATTGTTAAGTAAGTGAAGGTGGAAAAGTTGTTGAGAATAGTAATAGTAGTTATTATTGTCTTTGTGAATAAGCAATTCCAAAGAATGGGAAAACACTGTTTGCATTCTAAATGATTAGTGGAACTTGTTTTTATATTGGAATAGGATTCAGAGATATTATATAAAAAAATAATTATTAATGTACAGGAGTTGGGAATGGGTATTAAATTTAATCATAATAGATCATATATGATATATTCTAGTGGTTATACTTTCTCTCATCATAATAAAGATGTTAATGGTAAATAATTATCATTCACATTTACAACTAACGATGTAATAATAATTGAAGTAAGTATTGAACATAAGTATATTAAATGGATGAGATAGAATAATCCATTAGCAACTGTTGTAACTATCAAACTATTATTAGTAGCTAGAAATAGATACTTCCATATCATAAGAATTATATCCATGTGTGTTTAATGTTAATTCTAAAGTTAAAATATTGGATAATATTCCAAATTGATTCTGGAGAATTGAAATAAATTATCATATATAATTATTATTAATTGAACAAAAAATAATCCAAAACTTGCTAGCTGAAATTCTTACAAAATAGAATGGATTAATTTTGGAGGGACATAAAGTATTAATTATTAGATTTATTGCATTCTATCAAATGGATCTGTCTGATTATGCCAGATTCACTCATTTATACTTTGTGATATTTGATTATTATAAAGTGATTATTATCAAAACCCAATAATTAGATGCAATTATTCAATAGATTTTTCTCTAATGCTTCAAATTTACAATTAATTAGAATTTTAGAGTATTTTTTGAAATTGTACTTTTGCAAAATTAGATGCTAGATTAATCAGCATTCAATAACTCTATGTATTTAAGAAGGTAAAGTTAAGTTAGATGGCTCATATCAAACAATTAAAAATTAAATATATTATTATATTATTAGAATATCAAATTTTAATAGTATTAAATTGAATTGGATAAATGCAATTCTTTTAGAAATTCTAATTATAACCATTACAATGTATGATTATTAAGTTTGAAAGTTTATTATCTCCAATACGACAAACTTATATACCCTTAATTATTATATTAATCATTTTTGAAATAGGGATTTTTAGATTATTATGTGTTCTCTAATTTACGAAAGTTAATTTAGGTATTTTCATGCTGGCTATAGAAGTACTTAGAAGTTCACCAACAGGTTGATACCATTATGATCAATAAAAATTTAATGTATCTCCTTAAAAATAGTTATATCAACATTAGGTTTTAAAGTTTTAGATTTTTTTGCTAAGCTAAGTAAAAACAATAAATTCCTAAATGGAAAGTTTAATAATATAACATGAATTACATGATTATGGGAAGAGAATTCAATCAAAAGCTCTTCGATGCAAAAATTGTTAAATAAAGCATTGGCATTGAGAAATGTTTCGACTTGTTTTGCCAAGAAAATTGTTAGATGAAGCGATAATTTTAAGATTCATATTGTATTAAATTGCGATTCTGTTTTCTACCTGTGATAAATTCTAAATTTTTGTAAATTCATTTATCTAATTTAATGATTTTTCAATAAAGTAATGCAATCAATTTGATAAAGTATATTATTTTTTGTGCAAATGGTAAACGAAGAAGAAATGCAGATTCTTATTAATTTTTCAATCAAAAACCCTTAATAAATCTTTTTCTTCGATTGATAAAATCAAGCAGAATTACTCTAACGGAACTTTTCTTAATTAGTTTAAATATAATCTGAACACTTTCGAAACATTAATCTGAACACATAACTTTATTCAATAATATTTACTTTTATTAGTCGCCAGTGATAGACTGACTTATTTTGCCTAATGAAGTTCTATACTTTTTAATATAGTTTGGGATCATTTTTTTTTATTTCTTCTCAAATTTATTTATGTTTTTGTTTAGTTAATTTGAGACATTCATAATTCTTGAAGAGTGCACTTTGTAAGTTATTTAAGTATTTTTCAGGTTTGAAAGTTTTTTGTTTTAGTAAATTTTTTTAACAGTGACTTTGTATTTATTATCTTTATATTTTGTTTTAATACCCAAAATTTTACTGATTTTTTTAATAAATAATAATAATCCTATAGTTAAAACTTTTAAGATCAAAAAGCATAGAGCAATTCAAATATAATAATTCGAATATTTAATCCAAGTGTAAGTGTAAAACGAAGACATATAAAAAGGCACTGCTGAAATAAGAAAGATAATACGATACCTAATAGAGACAAGAATATCTATAGATTCTTATAATGTTTTCTAAAAATAAATTCTTAAAGTGGTCCAAGTATTCTCAACAGCATTTTGTCAATAACTTTTAGGATATTTACATAGCTAATACCATAAGTTAATTATAAATTTTATAACATCAAGTACAATGATCATAAATCATCATCAACTAAAATCTCAATGATACTATTGAAGCCTTTAAAAGCATTGTTTTTTTCCACTAAATAAGATTAACCCCTAAGATCCCATTTTGGACTAGTGTAAACCTATTATTATCCTAAATCATCACATAAAAATGTGTTCCCAACATGTTGATGAGATTATTTTTGAATTAAAAAATAAAACTAGAATCCTGAATAAGGTAAAGTAACTATCTTCATTGATACTTACTTAATTACAATAATATTACTTAAAGTCTCCTTTTTATGATTGGAAATGGTGGTTTATTAATGGTCAATCCTTTTAATTTTAAGGATATTTAATTTTCTCTAAGGGATTACATCATAATATTATTATTATAAGCAACTTTTTCGAATAAGTATAATTATTAGCTCAATATTTCATAAGCTTTCAATTCATGCAGGGGTGATATGATATCTTAGTATAAATCATTTACTTTGTTTTCTTCAGAACAGCGCAGCTGCTGCAATATTAATGAATAAACTTAATTTTTTTTGCTTTCATTTAAATTTAGAACTCTTACACCTTCTTTTTCAAATGGTTTAGTTACCCTTTGGATGTATGTAATATAGCTTCTCAAGGTTTTTTTACAAAAATTAATCTCAAGCTATATTTTCTTGAATTTCAGAATGAATTCATACATACATCATGTAAATCAATAACAAAATTTTTTTATTTTCTATTAAAGCTCCATTAGTGTCTTATACTTTCATAAGCAGGTCTCCTTATTCTAATATCCAGCTCTGATTCTAGAATCGTATGCATAGCCACTCCACAGTCCCTCTGAAAAGTATCAAGAAATTAAAAACATTTTTCTTCTTCATTAAATGGCACACAATATTAAAGATGGATCAAATCTCTCTATTATGCCTAGTTACTTTTTCTTTCTAATACACTTTGTAATATTATTTTTCAATAGATACTAATGCTCCTCTAACCTTGTTGCCCCTCAATTTGTAATATTAAAATGTATCATTAATTATCCATAAACTATATCTTTAAATTTATAATATATAGTGTTCAATTCTTCTGATGATTTATTTTCAAAACCTAGTCTAAAATTTTGAATTTTGATAATAAAATCAAAGGTTAACTTTTTTCAGCTTATTTTACAAAGATTGCCAGATGAAGGCTAAAATTATCTATAAATTAGCAATTGTGAAACTTCATAATTATTGAAAACATTTTGAACTGATAAATCACAAACCAGATCTTTAAGTTGAGAATTGTATTTTTTTAGATTGTGTCCTTTTCTGAGGTTATATTACCTTCTGTTCTGATAGGATGTTTTGCAAATCGAGGCCTGTTTTGTTTAGTCTAGAGACATGCTCACATTTACAAGGTCTATGATATTAAGCCCTAATAAAAGAATGTTTGCTTCAAAAGCAGTAACTAAGTAGAATTAAAAACATCAATGTTTTAGATGTTAGGGTGCTAACAAATTTCAGAAACTATTACTATCATTCTAGGACTCATCGTATTTTAATAGAAACACATAGTGAAAGGGGATGTGCTAAATGCTAAATAAAGAGTTGTCTGAAGAATGACGCAACGTTAAGTGCATCACAGATAATAGCCTCATGCACAGGCTATAAGTAGTGCTGTTAATTGAATTTTTTGATGAACACATGCAATAAAGAATGTTCCACTCAATTACAGAACACTCATAAGTAGAGTATAAGCATTATAAGTGGTTCAAAGCAATGAAGTGTATTAGTGACAATCTTCAAGTTGACTTGCAATTTAAAATAGGTCATTGGCTTGAGTCATCATCCTAATTTGTATCTCTAGAATAATTGTCATAAATTTGATTGGTTATAAATTTATTGTTATCATAAATTAGCACTTTCAATGATGAAATAATAAATTACGAAATTTTTCAGATTTTTTTTACAAGTTTTTTATCTTAAAATTAATAGACTTGTAGATATATTTTACGCGAATAATGTATACAAGAGAAGATAGCTATTTCGAAGATTGTAAACAGCAATACAACTTTACTAAGTTTCTCTACAACTATAAACAAGAGCCTAAGTCTCTACAACAGGTTTACAATTTCTAAGACTTAGATAACATGAAGGACCTACAAAGTCCAGTTGTAGTTTTAAATGTAATCTAACATTTAGGATTATGACTTGGTTATAGCTGAATAAGAAGTAAATTGGAAAATATTAGATCTACATTAAATATATGTTGAACCAGTTTAATGTAAGAATTTCCTTTATTGATTTTAATATACATTCAGAAATACATAAATAAATATTGGCTTTGATTGAACAAACAAGACAAAAGAGAGGCTAAATCTGGACAAGTAACGTCTACATAACCATCAACTCAATTATATAGTAGAACGGAATTGCATCAACATACTGTTGTGAGTCTTTCATCTTTATAATTTAAAAGGGATTTATAAATTTAATTTATTATAAAACAGGTGACAATAGTTGCTGGAAACAGTAAATTTTTATTGCAGTATAAATAGTATGCATTAAACTGAGTTAGGTATGTAGATTAAAAAAAATTACTCACTACAAGTCGAGCAACTTTGAAGCCTAAGAATAAGTTCAGATGATAAAATTGATACTATCTCTCATATGGCAAGTAACCTAATCGTTTAGCCAAATTATGCTTGTCTTTTTATCTTAAGTATAGCCATCGCTATTCCACAAACAATCACTGCCTCGAAGAAAATGAAGTCCAAACCAGAAAAACTGTACAATTTCTAATTGATGTCTTAATTGTACCTTCGGTATATCCAGTGCAACTTGATTTAGGCTAAATGCTTGAGATGCAATAGTTAAATTTGTTTTTAGCAAACTGCTAGCAAAACACTAAACATCAAGATTGGAAATGCTAGAGCTTATTTTCTATTCAGTTGATAGCAAGCAGCCTTCAAGAACAACAACATATACAGCAAATGTGATAGACATGCAGAATAGTTATCTTGCATCTATATTAATGATAATAACAGGCAACCAAGTGTTCAGATATAACACAGGAAACAGGATATTTTAATTATTATCAAATGTCTAATACCGCACAATTCAATCAGTAAATAGCTGCAAAATC